AAGTCCTGAAATGTAAAACAACAACAACAAATAAATAGATAATAGATAAAAACAAGATCTAATAGATGGAGCAAAAGAGTTTACAAAGAAAATTATTGATACAGGAGCTTAATATCATAATTAAATTGTTACTACTAATCAAGAAGAAAAAATACATTTTTTTCTTATCATTTTGTGACATCATCTACTCTTTAGTCTAGGCTGATCTCAAAGCCATGACAATCCATCTGTGTCAGTCTAGGGTTGTAGGTTTGTGCCATGAAGTCCAGACCCCCCAAAAAAATTGATTTATTTTTAGGATTATTTTTAGGAAAAAAATAAAGTGAAAACAGAATTAGAGTTGGAGCCAAGATTGTGGTACAAACCAATAATCCCAACCCTATGATGGTTAAGGCAGGAGCAAGTTCAAGGCCTTATTCAGCTATAACTATCTTTAGACCCTGTATCAAAAGAAAAAAATGTATTTTAGGGGCTAGGATTGTAACTTAGAAGAGACAAATTAAGAAGGAAAAAGTCCTTGGTACTGTAGGGGGACCACTGATATCAGGAAAACTAAAGTCGTTGTTTGAAAAATCATAAAGAGTTTATAAGATAGTACTTTGTCAGGTGCCTGTGTGTGTCATGCTCCTGGAAAATTCAAAATTCCTTCCAAATTGAAACATCTGTCTAGTATGTCAAGCAGGAGGTAAACATATGGTCACACATATGGAAGAACAGAAGCCCCTAGCAACGGTATAAAGAGAGTGACAATTGCTGCGGGTGGAGGCTTGCAAAACTGCGAAAAGATACTCAGACCCGAGAGCCGAAGTTTTCAGGAGTCATCACCTACCTTAGGGTTGACTTTCTGGTGATGCAGCTGCTTTTGAGTCATCCCTGCTTCTGTAAGTCCCCCCTCACCAATCCTCCTGCTATCAATCCCAATAAAGAACTCGTTGGTTCATTGGTTCACCAACCTGAATATTGATGAAATCCTTACTCCGGAATCTTGTGGGCTCCCTTTCTGTGTCAAATGTGCGTGTGTGCATGTGTGCGTGCGTGCGTGCATGTGTGTGTGTGTGGTGTGTGTTGAGTCTCTTAAGGAAAAGTCGGCTACAAAGCATTATGCAGAAAAGAAAATCCCAGCATTCTGGAGGCAGAGACAGGCAGATCTCTGTGAGTCCAAGACCAGCCTGGTCTACAAAGCTAGTTCCAGGACAGCCAAAGAAACTATGTCTCAAAAAGAAGAAAGGAAGGGAGGGAGGGAGGGAGGGAGGGAGGGAGGGAGGGAGGGAGGGAGGGAGGGAGGACAGACTCAGGGACCAAAGGTCAAATAGTTGTGAACTAAATGTTTATATGTAGAAAGCCCTAGGTCTGACACCTAACACCAAAATAAATAAATAAACTTCTAAAAAGAAAAGAAAAAAATCAACAACCTTCACTAAGATATCAGAATATTTTTAAACCACTGAAAAATAATTTTTGCAAAAGAGAAAAAAGCACCCTCCCTCCCACCCCAACCCCTGCAGTCTGTTCTTTCAGAGTCACCACTGGGATGTATTTGAAAGTACAAGAGTAAAAATCAAGCATGGTGACACATGTCTATATCCTAGTACTTGAGAGGTGAAGGCAGGAGTGTGTTACAGCTCTTTGGGGAAAGGAACAGATATCTTGGCAGTCAGGAGCCAAGGAATACCATAAAGTCACACGATGCAAGGAACCCCACACAAGATTTATGGGGAGAGACACAAAAGAGTGCCCCACCTCCCTGCTTGGTTCTTGAGAAGCAGGAGGGAACTCAGTAGATGAAAGTTTATAAAGGGTTTCTTGTGGTGGAGGCAAGCTTTCCAGGATAGCCTGGGATTGGTGGGATTTTGTGGCCTGATCTCGGGCTCGGGCTCTGTCTCTGTCTCTCTCTCTCTCTCTCTCTCTCTCTCTCTCTCTCTGAAAGGTGGAACTTGGCTACCCATCTCATCTCCAGGGGCTGGAGTAGTCTGGGGCTGGGGGCCTGACCACTTGCAAGAGTCCAAGGTTATCTTTGGGTATATAAAGGATCTTAGGTCAGCCTGGGCTACATGAGATCCAGTTTCAAAAGAAAAAACTGAACCAAAAGAAAGAGGAAATGAGGGAGGACAGGAGGGAAGACTGCTGCTAAATGGATCAGTGGGCAAAGGTAAATGCCACCATGCTTGCTGATTGGATCTTCCATGAACTCAGATGGTAGAAGGAAAGAATCAACATCAAACGTTATTCTCTATTTCTCTATGCACACTGTGCTGACCTGAAACTTCTGATTAGCATGCTATCACCACTAAAGTCCTGGGACTACAGACTTGTGTCCTACCTCCCCAGTTAAAGTGTTACGGGGGACCAAAGCCAGGCCTACACTCTCCCATCTAAGTTACATCTCCAGCTGATTGAACCTATCTACCTGATGGAATTTTTTGTTCCTTTTTCAAGATTCAAATCTGAGATAAAACTGTTGTGCATATTTGCTCAATCTCTATACCCAGGCACCTCCTAGGACAGATCTCTCTATTTTTCAGTATATTCCCCACAGGTATGGATTATCTCACTTCCTGGATGATCATTCTATAAACCTTCAAAGATCTCAGTTCCTGGGCACTACTTGTATCTCCTGAAGTCTGAATCCCAGAGCTGACTATAACCTCTCATTCATAAGTTTTAGGACTGTGGCCTACTTAAGGTGTTACTTCCCTTTCAACACATACACATTGGTAACCCGGAGCCTGGTGTTGTTTACTAACTAGTACCATGCTTTTGGTCAATAATGAAGCCATTATCACCTTGTTATACAGAGCCTCTATATCATCCTAAGACAATTTTCCAGGGAACTACCTGGTTTAAAGTCAGACCTAAAGGGTATTTTGAGTCACATCTTTGTAATCCTGACTCTCAGTTCCTTTGCCTTGGAGTGGTGAGACCCTGACTTGCAGTTTGGTCAACAATTAACTTGGACTTTCCTGCCCCAGGGATTCCAAAGCAGCCCCCACCTGTTTGACCAGGTCTCAGATAATGACCTTTCACCCTTACAGCTCCTTCCCAGTAGTGTAATTTTTCGATATGCAGATAACCTGCTTATCAGTTGCCCGGACAAAGAAACCTTCACTGAAATACCACACAGAGTGCTTTCTTGTGCTTGTAGAGACACAAATATCTTCCCATAAGGTATAATCCTCAAAACAAGTGCAACTCTGGACACCCAATAGCTTTCAAGCCAACACACACACACACACACACACACACACACACACACACACACAATCATAGATGTAGGTATATCTGTCACAACTACAATCTGGATTTCTGAGTTTGGACTCATAGTTAAGTTTCTTTATGAGGCCTTCTGGGTGCCAGAAAATGAGCCTTGATTTTGAATGCCTCATATTGATAAGGCCCTACAAACCTTCAAGTGGCCTGTCACCATTACCCCCACATAGGCCCTACAAGAACAACAACACAAGAAAAACAACAAAAAATTCTCTTCTCTCTGTATGCTTGAAGAAAAGTGGATTTCACTGAGAGTCCTTGCCCAAATGGTGGGTGGGAGTAACCACTTTTCCAGTAGCCTACCTGTTAAAACCTTAGAGCTGGTCATTCAAGGATTGTCCCCATATCTCTGAGGTTTGGTTTCAGGTGCCCTCTTGCTCAAATAGGCAAACTAAAATTGAAGCAAATAGAATGGTATTTATAACATACTAGGTTTCAGATATATGTAACTCTCAAGTTTTTTCCCCTAGATTTGTGATACTTCCATTCACTTATAACAGATCCCCTCACCTAAGGTCTTCTCTGTCCATCAAATTGTTGCCTTAGTTCCAGGCTCTAGCTCCAGCACTCCTGCTGAGAAATCAGGTCTAGACTGTAATATCAGGCCTTCTGTACACCTCTCTACTTGTTCCTGGGGCCATATGGTTCACTGGTGGTGGTGGTTATACCCTGGATGGGACCCAGGTTTTCAGGCATTCAATTATCATCTTTATGTAAGTCGTTATATCTGACTCCATGTGAAGGCAGCACCATGTCAGCCCAAAAACCTGACTTATTTCCTTCACGTATACCCTTCAGCCAGGTGCAAATAAGAGGTTTAACTGATATGTACAGCAACTGAACCTACGTCTTCCACAAGGTTCATGCTGTCATTTGGGAAAAACAATGTACTATTATATTAATAATGGAGAAAAATAGGCATTGAGAATATGGTAATTTTTTCACTATCATAATTTTCTATATATCTAACATTGTTTTAAAATAAACATACATTTTTAAAATGGTATGATATCTGAGATTGATTCAAAATCACCCAGGATAGAAACAATAGGGAAAATCAATTAAGTTCTCAAGTTCATAGAAAACCTTAAACAGAAAACACTCTGTAGAGCAAATTGATTGGAACCCTTCATTTTTTTTATGATAATATTTTTATTTAAATTTGCAACAAGCTTGTTTTACATGTCAATCCCAGTTCCTGCATTCTCCCATCCTCCCCTGTTCCCCTCTTCACCAAACCCCATCCCATACCCTTTCTGCTTCCCAGGGAGGGTGAATCCGTGGGGAGTATTCAAAGTCTGTCATATCATTTGGAGCAGTGACCAGGCCCTCCCCCCATGTGTCTAGGCTGAGAGAATAACCCTCTATGTGGAATGGGCTCCCAAAGTCCATTCGTATACTAGGGATAAATACTGATCCACTACTAGAGGTCCCGTAGACTGCCCAGTCCTCCTAACTAACATCCACATTCAGGGGGTCTGGAAACCCTTCATTTTTTATCATCACACAAAACCACCCTATTAGCGCCTCTCTGAAAATAACACAAACACAACATTGGCATGTATTAATGAACAAGGCCAAAGTATTCAGGCTATACATATTATGCCAGTAAACTTTTGCATGACAGGTTTCTCAAGCTCTGCTTTGGAAAAGAATATGCTGATTTTTGTTGCCATTGTTGTTGCTTTTATAAAAAAAAAAAAGTGTGACAAGAAAAGGAAATACAGGGAGGGGAGTGGAATCTAGCCGGCTGGGCAGCCGCCGAGCTCCTGCCATGGCCCGAAACACACTGTCCTCACGTTTCTGTCGGGTGGACATCGACGAGTTTGACGAGAACAAATTCGTGGACGAGCAGGAAGAGGCAGCTGCGGCGGCAGGCGAGCCAGGCCTCCACCCCGCCAAGGTGGATGGGCTTCTGTGGCAAGGGGACATGCTTCGTGCATTCCATGCAGCCTTGCGGAACTCACCAATCAACACCAAGAATCAAGCTGTGAAGGACTGAGCCCAGGGTGTAGTGCTGAAAGTACTCACAAACTTTAAGAGCAGCGAAATTGAGCAGGCTGTGCAGTCACTGGACAGAAATGGCATTGACTTGTTAATGAAGTACATTTATAAAGGGTTTGAGAAGCCCACAGAAAATAGCAGTGCAGTGTTACTCCAGTGGCATGAAAAGGCCTTAGCTGTAGGAGGACTAGGCTCCATTATAAGAGTTCTTACAGCAAGAAAGACTGTTTAAAAAAATGAATCATGTTACCTTAAGAATTTTGGATGCCCAGGTTGGTGAAGAAGGGACTGACAATGGACCATATTCCTGAACTCCCAACTGCATATTTCAGGAAACATCTGCTGAAATGTATTTTACTTTTAAGGTGGAGGGAGAAATTGTCTTATTGTTTTCTAAATTCTTTACAGGATCAATGTCTCTGCCTTTGTCTACAGAGTAACATAATTGAAACTTGACTATCACACTGACTGGCCAGATTATGTCAGGTGTACTTGTATGTACTGTCTGTTTGAAATGGGGAGGGGCTATTTGGGCAAATGCAGATCTAAGGGCTGCTGTGAAAAGGAGAGCTTGGGTTCTGAAGTGAAAATACCTGAGAGTTTGTACAGATACTCTGTCTTCCCAGAGAAGGCAGGCTCTCTTGGGTTCATTGTAAAGTGCCTGCTGCATCAATAAAGCTCTTGGCTCACTAAAAAAAAAAAAAGAAAGAAAGAAAGAAAGAAAAAGAAAAGGAAATACACTATAAAGGAGATAACACAGATAAGAATGGCATAGTAAGGCAAGCATAAAATATAATAAGTATAATTAATGTGAAAAATATCAATATATTCTTCATTCTACACACAATACTCATCCTACTAGGTTCTATGCACAAGCCCAAGGTCACATTCTAGTGTCTACAAATAGAGTAGCATTTCTATTTTTATTCTATTTCATCATATTCAGTGTTCCAATGTTCAAAACAGACAAATTCTATTTGGTACATGAAAGAATAAAATTCTTAACTGAAAAAAAAAAAGAATAGGGAAAATAAGTTAAGCAAAAGTGGCCATGAATTGTAATTGTTAAAGCTGGTGTAAGAAAGTTCATTCTGCCAGGTGTGGTGGTGTGTGTCTTTAATCCCAGAACTAAGGAGGCAGAGGCAAGTGGATCTCTGAGTTTCAGGCCAGCCTGGTCTACAGAGTGAGTTCCAGGACAGTCAGAGTTACACCAGGGCTACACAGAGAAACCCTGTCTTGAAAAACCAAAATTAAAAGCAAAACAGAAAGAAAGTTCATTCTACTATTTTCTGTTTCTTCCATATATTAGACATTTTCCATAATCAATATTAAAAAGTAGACATGCAAAATTTGGAAGGTAAGTCCAAATAGCAGAACAAAAATACACTAACTGAAATTCAGAATGCAAGAAAATTCCCCTCTTCTACTTCCTTTAATTTCCATTTCCTTTTGCCATTTTGTATATTCTTTCTTTATTTTTCATTTCCCTTCCCTACTCCATCCCCCACATTCCATTTTTCTACTTTTCCTTCCAGAATAATTTGATGCAAAGGCATTAAGATTGGCGAAACATGGTAGGTTTCAGGGTGACAGTTAAAGGGAACAATGGTGACCTGATGCAGGGTTTCTGATCCTGATCTGAGTGACAGAATGTGAATTGTCACATAGTGTAAGATGTGTACAATGCATATGCGTGGGACTCAGGGTTTGATCCCTAGATCTCATTTGAGATAGGAACTTATCTAGCTATATCCACTCGGGTGTCTAAGAGGACAAATACCTAAGTTTCAGCTTCTAAATAGTACCAAAAAGATTCAGGAATGCTGAAAAAATAACTCATTCTGCAGCTGAGACAGGGAAGATGTGAATGCAGAACACTTCTTATTCCAGAAAGCAAAGGTTAACAAAGGATCTGCTCAAAAAGCCACAGTAAGCTGGGAATGTAGTTCAGTGTTATTACTTGCTTAATATCCATGAGACTCAGGTTTTGAGAACACAGGAACTAGACTCAAGAGGCTCCCATTAGCTGAGTCTAGCATAATCTAATTATTAAAGTAAACGATACAGAATAGAAAACCATTGGGTGAAAATGGAAACTAGACAGCTAAATTCATATTTGTAAACTAAATATCTCTGAAGAAGCTGCAGACTTCTTGACCATAGCAAAGTCAGACACCATGATTGTGGAGTGATGGAAGGTTGTAGGTCAAAATATCTTGTATTATCATCAGCCCTAACATGTTTTCTTTCTTTCTTTTTTTAAACAAAGGGTCTTATGATGTAGTTCTAGAGCTCATGATCTTCCTGCCTCCACCTCCCAAATATGAGGATTATAAGCCTGGCACTCCTGCACCCAGCCACAGTGTGACATAGCATTCTTTTTTTTTTTTTTTTAACGATAAAATTCCTGCAAGTGTATCACTTAGCATGACTCATCTGTAGCACCCGCTAAATTTAGACTGAAGAATGCAATAAAGATGACTTCATATATCACCCATTCCCCCACATTGCTTAGTCCACTTTTCTGCTGACTCTACCTAGGAATTTTGTAAACAGACTGATACATGGATTTCTTTTCTGTGAGCACTAAAGTTAATACAATATTTTTCGTTTAGTAACACAACATTCACTGTAACTCAAATCTATTTTCTTGGGCCATGATTCCACATTTGGAGCTTGGAATACACTGGTTTCTTAATTCCTTAAAGCAAAAGTTTTGTGGTGCAGATTATTGTACATGTACTGAAAGAGTAAACTTTAATAAGTGGTGTGATATTTATACAGGTTCAAAGTACCTCCTAACTTGAGACAGAATCTTACTACATTGCTTTAGCTGGTCTGGAACTTGCGCTACAGACCAGGCTGGCCAAGAATTCACAGAGATCCACCCACCTCTGCCTCCAAAGTACTAGGATTAAAGGCTTGTGCTAACACCACCTGGCCTGTGTTGCACTTTTAATGTTTATGTGATCTTGAGAGTATTTTGAACTAAAAATAAAGAGGATAAAGAAAATAACTGGCCAGGTATGTTCATGCACACCTGTAATTTCACCACTCAGGAGGCTGAAGTAGGAGTGCCAAGGAAATGAGGCCAGCCTGAACTATATAGTGAGTACCAGGTATGCCGGTGCTTTATAGCAACAGCAAGTTTCAAAAATCAAAAACAATGAATAGAAAGAGAGAGAGAAAAGGAAAGAGAGTCTAAAAGATTTAAAAAAACAAAAACAAAAAACAATATCCCAAAAGCAGCAGAGACATAGCAAAGAAAGAAGGTAAGACACGTTGTAGACGAAAAAGGGGCTCTCCCTACACTGTTTAAAGGGTCAGTCTTGGGGAACATACCGACAGTAGACAAATGAACAGGAGAAAAGCATACTAATTGATATACACATGCGCACGAAAGTCGCGCATGAAAGTCTCACAAACAGGAGGCTTAAAAAAGTAGCCAAATGCATTCCCCTACATATGGAATTGGGGTGGGGGGATGGGAGGGGAGGGTGTTTAGAGTGCATGTGAGAGGGCAGAGAGGGTAAAAGGGAGGGAATGAGGGAGGGAGTGAGGGAGGGAGGGAAAGAGAGGGAACTGGGATCGACATGTAAAATAATAAATTAAATTAAAAAAAAATGCTTTGACTCCAAAATTTAAGTTGAAGGACAAATTACTGGGGAAAAGGATTTCTATTTTTGTTTCCACAGAAAATAAAAAGCTGTGGATTCCTTCCAGACTAATGTGGTTTGATCACGCCAGACCGCCTGAAACAGAGTACAAGCTGATCCTACATTCAAAACAGCTGGACAAAACAGCCCTACAGACTACAGCCAGGACATCTGAATCTTCTTCGAATCCCCCCAAGACAGCGCCCCTTACCAGCAGGAAGTAGTTTGGAAAGAACGACGCCCAAATTCCCAAATATTGTGTATAAATGTTTGTTTTCATTTAATTGGACTTAGTTATATAAAATTAAATTTAAAAAAATAAATAAATAAATAAAAACAAAAAACAAAAACAAAAAAAAAAGTAGCCAAATGTTTGAGGCTTAAGTAGCACTCTGGGCTGCAAAAGGAAAGAGACATGGACTTTGAGATCGACAGGTGACAGAGGCATGCTGTGGGAAGGTAAGGAGGAACACTGGCCCAGGAAACAAACTAAGAGACCTCACAGTACGTGGCTTTTGTAGTTTTTTTCCCCCTATGAGTTAAGCTTCCCTTTTGGTCAGATTGTGAGAAGGGAGCTCATAAAATTTTTATTTCTTTCTTCTTTTTCTTTGAATTCACTGTTAACATGTCAAGTCTTGGGCTTCATTGTGCCTTCTTTTCTCTTCCCCCCCTGCATGGTTAAATTTTTGTGCATATATATTGTATGTTGAGGTCTCTCCTTTTTTTCCTTTTGGTTTTTTGACACAGGGTTTTTATGTGTGACAGTCCTGACTGTCCTGTAACTCACTCTGTAGACCAGGCTGGCCTAAAGGCATGTACACACCCCACACCCCCACCCCCTGCCAGAAAGCTCTCCTTTGTTACCATCTCCCTTCCATTAGGCCCTTCTGTCCTAACAAACAGTTTTATTTCTATTTTCATGTCATAAACACACACAGAACTTTATGCATCTGAATAAAATCTAGGAACCACAAATAGAAAATATGTGACATTTGTGTTCCTGAGAATGGCTTAATTTAATTAATATGATTATCTCCAGTTGCATCCATTTAATGCAAACAAACAATGGGACTTTGTTCTTTATGGCTGAAATAAAATTGCTTTGTGTCTATATTTTCCTTATCCTTTCCTCTACTGGTAGATAGAGGATTGGTTCCAAAACTTAGCTATTGTAAAAAGTGCAGCAGTAAACATTGATGCTCGAACAGGTCTGTGATGTGTTGACTTGAAGTCTTTGTGTAAATACCCAGGGATTGTCTTTCTGAACCAAATGGAAGATCTCCTTTTAATTTTAAAAGAAATCACCATGTTTCTATGAGCTGAGCTATCAGAAGTTTCTGCTGGGTGTGCCTGCCTTTGTGAGCCTGACTCTTTTTTCTTCTCATTTGTCTTTTTCTTTTGAATCCTGGCCAAAGCTTCCAAATGCTTATAAACTCCCCTAAAGGCTTTGGGCTTCCTTAAGCAGAGTGACTTAAAAGCTCATGGTCTCCATGCTCCTCCTTCTGGCAGCTGTGAGATTTACAGGGCTTCACATTCAGGATAATCCTCCTGCCTCAGCTCCCTGAGTAGTGGGATTACAGGCCTGAGTGAGAATGGCTGACTTTCTTGAGTTTGAGTTCTTTGAATGTTGTAGATACATGATCCTAACCAGATATTTGTTTTCTAAATACTTCCCCCACT